CTCCCGAATCTCCCTTTCGGACAGTCTAAGAGCAGAACTTCTACTGGAATTGAGTGGATTGAGTCGGGATCAGCAGCTCATGATAAAGGCTTGCGCAGGAGGAGTTCATGAGTTTGACAAGTATGCGCAAATCATGACAGAACATCATGGGCTCATTCATCTCCGAGGAAACAAGCTCCTGGACTCAGCTCCCCTTTGTGCACCTGGTTCGGATAGGAACACTAGCCGGTGGACCCCCAAGGGATCAGGTAAGTACGGAGGACGTTCTTTGGGATCCATTTCCTCAGCTTATCTTGGTGATATGGTGGATTCAGCTTATGTGGCGCAGGAGCATAGGGCAGATGACCATTACGAAAGTGAACGGTATCAGGATGAACCCGAAGCGAATCAGGAAGATGAGGGTTGGAATGCCTGGACTGATCAGCCAGGAGATCACTCCTCACATGTGGATGTTAGTGGAGAACATGTGGTGTCTGACTGCGATGTAGCTGTAGCCCTCAATGCTATGGAAGAGTGTGACTACGAGGTTTACCCTGAGGAAATGGGCGAAGCTATCCAGCTTCAGTGTGCCGCGAACGCCGCTATGGGCAAGGCAGGCGGTAAGGGCAAGGCTTCGTCCCACGCTAAGGGAAAAGGCTATCCTGTGGTGAGAAGCAGGCTTCAGTTATCTGTAGAAGAGGAAAGAGAAACTTAAGCAGCTTAAGTCACGAAGCCGCTGTCTTCGGTGTGGACAGACTGGACATTGGAGTGGAGATCCTCAGTGTCCCAAAGGTCGTTCTTCTCAATTCCATGGAGATGGCAAGGGCAAGGTGAAGCAGGATTCCCAGAACTCTAAGTCAGGACCCAAACAGGCCTTCTTGACTGTACCTGTTTCGAGTAGCAGCGAGGAGGATATGGATTGCCTCTACATCGATAGTGGACCTTCGGACTCTAGTCCTCACGCTCACATGGCATACCGTGCTGGTGGTTACAAAGGAGGAGACCGGCTCTTTACGATAGGACAGCACAAGGGTCTCAGCTTCGAGGAGGTTCTTCCCGCTATACCGCTTACGTGAAGTCAGCAGGTTCCAAGGATCTTGCCGATTTCTTAAGCTGGGTGCAGAATTACTATATCGTGAACGATAGTATGGAGGTTTCCCGGAGAGACGTTCCGCTGAGTGAGATGGCGAGGACGTCTGGAGCGATTGCCCAGACAAGTGCCCTGCCAGCAGCATCCTCGCATCAGACCGTCAAGGGCAGACCTCCTAATCCCCCGCTGCCGGTGAGTTGTGAAACTTGCGCCCAGTTCTCACATTTGGGCACGAATGCGTATGTTGCCGTGAAGACTTGCAAGGTTTGTGGAAAGGTGTTCAAGGAAAAGAAGACCATTGTGAAGAAGGATCCTGCAACCTGCCCGCGTGCCAACACTAGCAAGCTTGGTTCGAACAAGTCAGTCATGAGGACTTTCTGCAAGGATTGTGGAAACGTGGTTGACGAGATGCCCCAAGCTGAGGCTAAGCGTAGGCAGCAGGCAGCTCAGGAGATTGAAAGTGCGACTTCCGCGTCATTCGATCTTATCAGCAATATCTCCCGAAATGTTTTGGAGGATGTAAGCATGGATTCTGTGCAGGCTCTGACAGTGGTGGAAGAGTTCAGGGTGCAAGTTGAGGATTATTTGGTTTTTCCAGAGTACTGAAGGTATAGATGACCCCAAAATATCTTCGAAGGACCTACACAGATCCTCAGCGATATCCTGGAAGCCGCTTTGGTAGCACAGGAGACAGCCCAATCTTCCAGAGCGACGCCTGGAGAGATGTCACGGGCTGCATCGACAAGAGCAGCCGAGTTCGGATCGGATGACCGAAGATCAGAAGAACGAAAATCCTCAAGGACGGGCAAGGGCAGATCAGGATTCATGGCAATCAAGACAGAGCCGCTGTCCCCAACCGTGCCTTTAGTGCTTGAGGAGGTTGATATCTTTCAGCATGAGGATGTCTTTGGCGTTCTTGATGATGGAGCAAACAGTTCGGTTTGTGGCAAGAAGTGGTGTGACAATGCCGAGAAGAAATTGGCTGGGATAGGCTTCGAGTTTCCTTGGTTGAGCAAGAATGGAGTTTCGTTCAAAGGCCTTGGTGGTTCGACTAAAACCTTGGGAGATAGAAGGTTGGTCTTCTGTGTGGAGTGCCGAGACTCGAGCCCCAATGCTGAACAAAACCGACCTCTGCTACCCGGTATTCTGGATTGCCGCGTTACTTCGGGAGAAGACACCCCTCTGCTCCTATCATTGTACGCCCAAAGCACCCTCGGGCTTCTGAAGGATTTGAAGAACTTCGTATGTATTGTGCAGAGAAGTAACGGAGGGCAGTGGGAAATGCCATTGGTTAGAACCAAGGGTAGCAACTTGCTTGCTGTGAACCTTTCTGCTGGACTCCGTGGATTGGCTCGTGTACGCCGACCTCTGAAACCGTATAGGACTATGTTGCCCAGATTGAAGAACAAGGTTCATAAGGATACGAGTTTGTGTGAGGAAGAATCACATGAAGTGTCCAAGGTCGAGGATGTTCATGTTGGGTGTAAGCACGGGCGCGTAGCAGCAGCAGCTATGTCGAAACATATAACAGTTGTGTCGGCCGGCGTGAAGTGGAGTGATGAAACCTCCCGGTATTTGGAGAGACCTAGCGAAGCGCGTGCTTGCACTATGGCTGCCGCTCTGGTGGGCAGGGATATGGACAGTTGTGGGATACTGGTGGTCGATTGCTTGAAGTATTCGGACCCAGAGGCCCATGATGCAAAGAATTCCTGGCTGAAGCAGCACATAGGACAGCGTCCAGCCTTGTTGGAGCAGACTTGGAATGGAAATCCAGGTTACCGTGACTCCATCTTCTACAACAGTTGCTCGGTGCGCACTACCGGACCGAGTTACTGCGCACGGGTCCCGGAGTTGGATCGTGGGGTGCCATGTACGGCCGCTGTCAGGGTGCCTGTGGCGAATGTCAGCGTAATACAGCAAGCTGTCACGAGATTCATCGCCATTGCGGAGGAATACGTGAATTGGAGCGGAGATATCTACCAACCCAGCGGGTGCTTTGCGTTCAAACTCGAGCCTGCTGCGAGTAAATCCCGTCCAACTCCAAAATCTTCGTCTGCGCGATTGGATCCGATATCGAAGCGCCCTGCTCGAGTGACTGGATCAAGTGCCCCTGCAGTGCCTGGCCAACGTATCCCTGCAGCTCCACGTCCTGGTGCTCAAGCCCCTCGCCCCACGCAAGCTGTGACTGACCTGACTCAGAATGACCCTGCGCCACCTGCTCCTTCATCGTCATCGAGGCCATCTGCTATGGAGTCCGCCCTTCTTAGCCAGGTCGAAGCACTCACTAAGGAGGTAGCTTCGCTGAAGACCTCGATGCGTCAGCAGAAGAGTAGGAGCCGCTCCAGATCCCGCTAGAGGCGGAGAGGCAGTAGGAGCAGGCGCAGAGGCCGGTCTGACAGGCGCAGGCGTGGAAGATTTTTTTCCGGGGCGCCCGAAAAGACAGCCGAGAGAGATTGCAGAGGCGGAGGCGCAGTAGGAGCCGGACAAGGAGCTAGGCCGGTCAGTCTGACACTGGAGTTCACCCGTGGTTCAACATCGATTATCGTGCTATTCTTGTTGGCCATATAGGCGGTTGTGACTGGCGCTCGGTAGTTCCGTTTGACAGCTGCTCAATAGATTGATGCGGACAGCGTGCGATCACATGATGCCCCAAGGCACGAGGCACCTCAAGAGGCACAAAACATTGTGCTGGATTGGACCTTCAAGGTCAACGTGGACAAGGGAGTGAAACTCACCGCGTTCGAGGGACATGTTGGTAGGCCTGCGCGATTCTTTTTGGATCCCCGAACCCCGCAGGCCTGGTGGGAGGCCGCGTTGCCAGTGGCTGGAGTTGGTTGGGCTATACCAACGCCGGGAGTACCTCCTTGACGTCCGGCACAGCAGGCGATGTGACTTCGTGCTCGTGGCTCAGTTCCCGTATGAGGTGGAAAAAAGAGCGTATACTGCAGTCAAGTTGATGTCCAAATCTCAGCAGAGCATGTTTGTAGATGGACTGAACACTTTGGACAGCATGGATTGCTTCACTGCAATGGTAGCTGGAGTGCCAACCCAGCGCGAAGATCCAAACTCCCCTGTTCGAGCTCCGACCTGCACCCTTCTTATCCATGACAATAAGGAGGTTAACATCCCCGGAATAAGCGGGCACCCCGCGAAGGACTTCAAGTGGAACCGGTTCACTCACGAGGTGAACGAGTTCAGGCCTGGATTGGTTTTGTACAAGGCTGCAGATCCGGATGTGAACTTGTGTGTGAATCTGTTTTGCGAAGCCTAAGCATCCAATATCAATGTTTGCGTGCTTGCACCGCTGGGTAAGCTCAATGCTGATTCTATTGGTGCCGATGCGGTTGAAACAGCAGGTGATGCATGCTTAGCGTGTGTTGGACCGCTGGCCAACCGCATTATTGAGGGTTTGAGCTCCTGGTGTGAAGGTGCGGGATATACCCCCAAGGCGTTCTGTGACATGAACACCCAAATCTTCTTCGGCGTGTTGATTTCTCTTCGGGAAGAAGCTTAGTAATTTGGATGCTATGAGTGCCGCCTACGTAGCAGGTTCACATGTGGACGCTGAGGATGAGAGCAGCCATGACCCACTTGAGGGTTTAGATCTCCCGGATGAGGATCCGCAGAGTCCTGGAGAGCCCGCTCAGGAGTCAAATCAAGAGGGAGATGTTCAGCCTGAACGTTTAGGCGTATTGGATCGGGAAAGAGAGCGGTTGGAGTCCCTTCCTTTGCCCGGCGCCCCGATGACTGAGGCCAAACGCCGAGAGACTTGGAGGCGCCTGCCCCAGAGAACGAATTTGTTGAGGCTGCAAGACTTGTCAAATGTGACAGCTGCGAAAAGACCAGCCCCAAGCCTCGGCCACATCCTGTAGGATTCGGTCATGGCAACTATGTGTTCGGGGATTCTGTGGGGGTGGATGTCCTGGAGACCATGGATTCCCAACGACGGAGGTATCAGTGCTTCAACATTGTTGACCTTGCCACAGGGTTTCAGCAGTTAGAGCTCCTCAGAGAAGTGACCAAGGAGACCCATGGACCCCCATCAGCAGAGATGTGCCTGGAAGCATTCCAAAGGTGGCTAGCGTGGGCCGGTCTGCCAAAGGTTATGTGGATGGACCGTGGCACGCTTAACCACGGTGCCTTCGTGAGCTATTTGACAGAAAAGGGCGTTGACGTTCGGTTTGCAGCAACCGAAGCTCCCCACATGTTGGGGAAGGTCGAACGTCGCGGTGGTCTAGCAAAGGCGGTGATCAGGAAAACGGCGGCAGGCGTGCGTACCGTAGGCCCTGAGGCACTTCGAAGCGTCATCCAGGAATCCATTGCGGTCAAAAATTCGACCATGAACGTGTCAGGCTTCAAACCCACCCACTGAATTTGGGAAGAAACCCCCGGGAACCCGGGACGTTAACCGACGAGGACGCCTGGAATGACATCGGCGCCATGGAGGGGAGGTTCAATGGTTCTGATGCATTTGACCTGAGGCAGAAAAGCCGCATCGAAACCAAGAAGGCGATGGTGAAGCTCGACACGAGCCGTAGGATTCAGAAGGCGTTAACCAAGAACGCTTCACCCATCAAGGAGCAGTACAGGACAGGAGATTATGTGGTGTATCGGCGTGATGCTCAGGTGGGTACAACTTCGAGGGTCATAGGTCAAGAAAGTGCTGAAGCCATATGGGTCGTGAATGGTGGTGTGCCAGTGTTGTGCTCGATTCACTCTCTGAGGCCAGCTTCTGAGGAGGAGGTGTTGTCCCATTGCCTGCTCAATGGTATACCTGTTCTCCCGGAATCATTGACTGAAGGCCCCAACTCGTAGACGCTCGAGAGCATGATGAGGAACCTGAACAGAAGTCGAGTAAACCGTCTTCTTCCGACAGGAAGAGGAAACAGGAGGAGGTTGATCCACCTGCGGTGCCAAGCTCTAGTTCGTCAAGCTCTTCTAGTAGTTCATCCAGCGATGAAGAGGTTTTGCCAAGTAAGTTTAGCAAAACGCGGGGAGACACAGGAGGACGAGGCAAACCTAGCTCAGGGTGTTCTGTCGCTTGAGGACTCGGAAAGAGATGCTTTTGTGGCCTTGAACGCAGGTGATTTCCGTCCTTCCACCTGTTTGCGGTTGCTAAGGACTGCGCCCCTCGTTCGTAAAGGCCGGAGAGGGATTGTTCAGGACAGCCTCACGTACAGCTTTGGAGCGTATGCCCATGGCAGTTTTACAGGCATCGCTGGTCTAACGGAGCGGCGTCAGATACTGGTTCAGTATTTGAATTCCTACTTGAGGTCAAGGGGAGCAAGTGGAGAGTGGTCATCCATTCAAGTTGGTAGGAATTTGCTGACTCCCCCGCGTAAGGATGTTCACAACCTGAAGGGCAGCACAAATCAGCTTACTTCTGTAGGGAACCATACAGGAGGGCCGCTATGGTTCCAGCACCCCGATGGAGACGTGTTATATGATGGTGAACCCGGGTACGCGCTGGACTGCAAGGTTGCTTCCTTTGATCCCGACCAGGTGCATGCCACGCTACCTTTTCAAGGTGAGAGATGGTCGATAAGTGCATACACGAGCAGAGGTGTGTTGGATTTGGATGTCCACAGTGCTGATCGGTTGAAAGGCCTAGGCTTTGAAGCTGGTAGCTCAGGTGTGGTTCCCCATCACGATGCTAATGCAGCGGAGTATGAGGAAGTGGTAGCTTCCCATGGGAAAGAACCTTCGGATGCCCCAGCACACGACCCTCTAGTGGCCGAAAACGAATGCCCCGCACGTGACCGTCTAGTGGCCAAGATCAACGAACGGATTTCCCTAGATCATTGGAAGATCGGTGAAAACATGTACTTCCGTGTTCACCTAGAACCCCGTCGATCTATGTTTGACCCCAAGAGTGAATCTTTCCCTGGTGATCTCAGCAAGATTGGATTCTGGACTTCCAGGATGGGGCAAACGATGTGGTTCAGGATGAGTGGGGATTGGTTCAGGAAGCCAATGAGGTGACCAATCTGCCATGGACCGGTTTTACTATGTTCCGAGCTCGGAGTGCTAGCCCGGTTGACTTGTCTTCCCTGCCCAAGATAAACCACGAAGATCCTCAGTACCGTGCCTTTGTAGCCGACAGGTTCGGCGCTGAGGCCGAGTCGCAGGCAGGTAAGAAGCCCCGCAAGATAAATGTCAACAAGTGTGAGGAACACGTGAGAGAAGGCATCCAAGGCTCCCGCAAGGATGAATGGGGTAAGTATCAGCGCTGCAATGCGGCGATACCTATTCGAGGTGAAATGCTCAAACAGCTGCTCGATGAAGGACATCGCCCTATCCCGTCACAATAGATGTCGATAAGCATGAGCGCATGAAAGGCAACGCGGATTACACCCCGAAGTATCGTAGCCGACTAGTAGCATGTGGGCAGCTAGAAGCAGTAAGTCGTGATGAACTTCGTTGCGACAGTCCCACGGCAGATGCCGAGATTCATTGCCTCTCGTGGCCAGCTATGCAGCGGCTAGGCGTTTGAGGATGTATTGTGGGGATGTCTCTAGTGCCTACTTTCAGTCTTCGCCTTTGGAGAGAGTCCTGCTGATGAGGCAGCCAACAGGTGGGTTGCCCGGTGTTCCGGAAGATGCCATGCTCCTATGCCGACTTCCTATTTATGGAACAATAGATGCAGGGCGAGGGTTCTACAACAGATTGAGTTCAGAGGCCAAGTCTGAGGGATTGAAGGTTAGTATGATCGCCCCAGGGTTGTATTACCTCGTTGGCTCGGATAACCTCCCCGCAATCATTCTTGTGACTCACGTTGACGACCTGCTCTGGTGTTCAACAGAAGAGGGGAAGGACACAATGGAGCGTATCCTATCCAAGTTTGATGTGGGCAAGATTGAGCATACGGATTTCAGACTCTGTGGTCGAAGGTTCCGGCAAGGGGATGACTTTAGTGTTCGCATAGATGCGGCAGACAACACTCGGCAGATCAGGAAAATCTCCCTTCCTGCTGGAAGGAAAATCAGCGACAAAGCCACCGAGGCAGAGATTACAAGCCTCCGGAGCGTCGTAGGATCTCTGGCATGGGTGGCGAGATTCGCAAGGCCGGATCTATGTTATCGGGTAAACTGTCTCCAGCGATCCTGCTCGACCGCCGCCGTGGCGGACCTAAAGGAGGCGAACCGCGTGGTCGATCTAGCGCAAGCAGATCTGGAGAGATCGTTGTATTATCCCGCAGGCGCCGTCGACTGGAGTGATATCTGTGTGGTGAGTTTCTCTTTTGCTCAGGAACCAGGATTCCGGAACCAGCAAGGGAGGCTGCACTACCTGACCTCCACGGTGACAGGTTGAGGGCAATCATATGTGAGTTGAGGGGCCAGCTTCCTTATCTCAAAGGATGGCTCGAGGAGACCCAGAAGAAGATGCGACATCTGTAGGTCACGGATTGCAGAAGCCTCAGCGATCACCTGAACAGCCAGCAGGTTAACAAGGTCTCCAATAAGCGGCTCATGATAGAACTCATGGCCATGAGGCAGCAGCTGTGGGAAGGCGAAACTGCTACTTGGCAGTTGTGTAGCCCCCACGGAGACCGGCTTCGATGGACGGACACGGCAACCCAGATAGCCGATGCCCTAACCAAGTCCATGAAGCCCCGTCAGTTGTTTAGGCTGATTGAGGAAGCACACGTGCAATTGGTCAGATCCCAGCCGCAAGCTCACCAAAGGTGAAGCGAAGGCGCTAACTTTGGGGGAGTGACGTTTTGCTTGTGTAGCTTGAGTCCGTGCCTTCTGTAAAGTTGCATTTTGGTAACTCGTGTAGCAGCATGTGTGAAGTTATTGTTTCTGCTGCCGTTACCTCTCGAAGGGCCCTTGAGCTAGAGGCAAAAATGGTGTGTCCGCTGCGCCTGTAAACGCTAAACCCTTATTTTTGATTCAGCCCTTAGAAGTATTCATATCCCAATTCTCGGCTGAAACATGCCGAGAGGTATAAGATACACTGTCTCATCAGCTTGAATTCTTGCAGCTTATAAGGAAATGTTTGATACTCCCCAAGCCCTAAACCCTGAACCTCTGAAAGAAAAAAGCTTAGGGAAAGAAGAGCAGGATCGCAATGCACCACTCAAGTTGTGGCTGACACATGCTGGGAGTCAACACGAAAACAATATAGGTTTAGATTGAAATACATATGTAAACTACCGGCTGAAAATGCCGAGAGCGTAAGGGTATCCTGACCCTTGAAATACCACTCGTGCTAGTTCTCTTCACTCGGCATGTTTCAGCCGAGCAAAGAGAACTAACCTGCATGTAGCATTACCATTGTCAAGAGGCAAGGCCAAGTTTCATTCGCGCCTTGTGCGATCTCTTGGAAACAACAGCAGTGCCCTGGAAGGACTTCCACTCATCCTCGTACCTGGCATGGCTGAAATGAAGATTCGATAAGGTTGCTCACACTGCTAGCAGCAACGTGTTCAGCTATTGTTTATCTCACCGCGCGGGAAGTAAGGCGCTTCGTCAGCCACCACAAACGTGTGCAAGATCATGGAGATGATTACAATTGAATCTTGATTGTATTTGCCCACGAGGCTTTCACTGCAGAGCAGACCTTCTTAGTTATAGGCCCGTTGGATCTCCACGGCCTTGCAAACCCTACCACGCTGTCAAAGCATCGGATGCTGCCATGGAAAAGATTCAAGGCAACTGATGCCTGGCCTACGCTGCCTCCTGCGCTTTGCGCTTTCGGCCACCCTTGGTCTCTGTCTGATCATCAGTCGCCGACTTGTTGGCAGTTACCAAGGTCTTGCCCGAGCGAAGGAAGCTCTCGAAATCACGTTCCAGAATGAGGAACTGTTTCCTTCTGTTGGGTGAGGGCCTTGAGGTCTAGAGACTCCTGGGTGAAGCACGGGTAATGTTTTGAGAAAAACCAAGGAGCATTATGTTATCTGAAGCTGGGAAGCTGAAGGCGGCCATCAAACAACTTGATCTGGTCGTGCAGCTCCTGAAGCCAGAGCACGTGCGTATGGAAGAGTTCCACACGAAAATGGCACAGGCGCTGCAGAAACATGAGTCCTTCCCAAAGGGCAGAGTTCCCAGCTGCTTCGCAAGCTTGTCACAGACGCTGCTCTTGTCCAAACACTTCTTCGCCAGGTCGTCAACCTTTTGCGCCGCAGTCAGGGCAGCAACCTCCTTTTTCTTCGGTTTCTTGGCAGGCTTGGGCTTCTCCTCCGCTGCTGCCGACAGCATGAGGACCCGGTTCTCGGACGAAGAGGATGCAGGACGGATATCTGGAGGAGCCTGTGAAAATGACGCAGCACAGCGCACAAGAACTACAATAGATACCAGGAGACATGACAGCGGCTGCGTAGGCAAGATCCTCAGGGGAGGTCACATCCTGGGAGACGTGAAGGCTCTGACCTGAGAGAGCTAAAGGTTTCAGAGACCATGGCAACAAAGCACTGGACACCCAGACCATGGCACGAATGCTTCAGAGAAACGCTCGCACCCAACACGAGCAAACACATGTGCAAACAGCAATCCGAGAAAAGGCTCATCATGCACGTCTCAGGCCTGAGGTTCTTGGCCATCAGGAACAAGCGGCCACCCGCCAAATTCGGGTCCTTTTCCAGCCTGACCTTCTCCGTGATATCACGGTGTCCGCACGATCCCCGTACTCCCGACGGACCTGGATCTCAGTCATCGGCTCGAGCTTCTGCCAGCGAATCGCCTCCTTCTCCATGCAAGGACTGGACATAGGTAGTCGAGGGCTTCAAGCTTCCCCCCACAATCCATAAGGAGATCAATCAGGTGGCTCTTTTGGGCCTCATTGGTGATCGCATCTTGGAGCTCTTTCAGAAGGCCCAACAACCTTTTCGGGTTGCTGCGAACCCTGGACAGCAAGTTTGCACACTGTCGTCGATTCACATTGCCGGCCTCTGCTGGTAGCAAGGCAACGGTGCCTGGACCAGGGGCTGCAGCATTCTCCTTTGGAGCTTCCACAGCGTTGTTTGACGGGCTTGTCTGGTTTTGGAGCTCATCCCAGCTTCTGCAGAATGAGCTTCGGATCAGCTGCCAACACACTCGGAGGCTGCGGGACAGCCACGGCAGCACCTTCGTGGACTCTGAGCTGGCGAGCTCCATCTGACGAGCAGCCTCGGTTGATGGCTTGCGCAGCCTTCACATTGACGCAATCGCGCAGCTTCGGCAAGGCGTCGCTACTCTCCGGAGACTCAGTAAGCCCAAGCAGCTGCAGCCTCCTGACGCCGCTTCTCAGCCTCTGCTCGCAGAGCTCGGGCTTCAGCAGCTCCAGCTTGCTGTCTGCTCGCAGTGCACAGAGCTCGGGCCTCAGCAGCTGCAGCCTCCTACCGCCTCACCTCCTCCACCGCTTGGGCTTCCACAGCTTGAGCCTGCTGACGTTGCTTCTCGTGCTCGCAGGCTCCTCCTCCACAGCTCGGGCCTCAGCAGCTGCAGACGTTGCTTCTCGGCCTCTGCTTGCAGCCTATATAGCTCCTGACGCTGTTTCTCAACCTCTGCTCGTATCCTGCCTCTGCTCGCAGCCTCGCCTCCTCCAAAGCTCGCTCTTGAGCCGCTGCAGCAGCCTCCTGACGCTGCTTCTCCGCCTCCATTCGAAGCCTTGCCTCCTCCAAACTCCGAGCTTCAGCAGCTGCAGCAAAATGTTGCGCCTCAGGAGGCTTCTTCCAAAGCTTGGGCTTCAGCAGCCGCACGCCGCTGCTGGGCTTCCTGAAAAGCACTGGCTTCCTCAGCCACACTGACGCTGCCTCTCAGCAGCCAAGCAGTCTCTGCACGAAGACTGCCCAAGCGAAGCTCCTCGGCCTCCATCTAGCTGTTGATGTGAAGGGCCGGATTTCGCGCAGGGGACGGCACCCTTGGTCAGCAGGGGCCGCAAGACGGCGCCCTTGGTCAGCAGGGGCCGGAACACGGCTTTCCTGGAAAGAGGATGCAAGGCCTCCTTGACATTTCGAAGCGTTCATTTCCATCTCTGCGGCAGTGTGACGGAGACGGTCCGCCAAGCTCGTTGCCTCAGAGGCTGGCTTCATTCTTTGCCTCTAAGACCAGGTTAGACTA